TGCACTACCTCGGAGCTGAGGAAGTTCATGCGTTCGAAAACTAACCTAACCTATGTTCGAGAACCCACCCAAGTGCTCTCCCTCTCATTTTATCTTACTTTCGTATCTCTGTCACTCTAACGTTGCGCTTCATGCGCATTAGGGTGCTATTTTACATGTCGTACGATAAGCTTTTCGGATACGTTTATTGGTTGGCGAATAGAGTATTTCTAGATTCTCTATTCGTCAACCAATGAACGTATCCAAAAAGCTTGTCATGCGACACGTGAAATATCAGCCTTATGCGTGGAAACGGAACGCACCCATAAACTATAGATTTTTAGTACTGGCAGTGAATTTTGGAACACAGCTCAAGAAGCAAGCAAGCAAGCAAGCCTCTCGGGCAGAGTAGCGTGTCGAAGGAATTTGTATGAAGGTTTCCTGAATATATTATTTAATTAATCAAACATAAAGAATATTGTTATTATATTATCACAGAAAAACTTATTTTTTTTGTAACGAATGTACAATTTGTATAATTGTTACGCCACCAAACAATGGCTGTGAGAAAACTCCGACATTGTGCACGTGTACCATTGCGGAAGAGCAAGACGGAAACGTTAAAAAATAACGACAATCGACAACAATGTACGAAAATTAAAGACAAAAAGACTATCGTCATTGCGCAAGAAATTAAGTTTGCGCGGCTCTTAGCCAATAATGACAAGAGGGTACGAGACAAGGTGTTAAAAAATTTGAAAAAATGGTTAACAGTACGTTCGCACAGCTCATTTGGTAAGTTGATTTACTTTGTAACATAAAGAAACTCAAATATAAATTTCTATATTTAAGAAGTGTATAATCATTATATATCTTACAGCATTTACAGAAGTGGATTTTATTAGTTTATGGAAAGGTTTATTCTATTGCATGTGGATGTCTGACAAGATGTTGATTCAAGAAGAACTAGCAGAATCCCTTAGTAAAATAGTACATTGTTTTAATTCCAAAGATACGATCATGCTTTATACAGCCTGTGCTCTAAAAACACTTGCCACAGAATGGTTTGGCATAGATCAGTACAGATTAGACAAATTTTATATGGTATTTTTTTTAATTTTCTTCCTATGATACTTCATGATATTTAAATTGTATGTGAATAATCCTTTTATTTCTTGTTTCTTCTAGTTAGTAAGAAAGATACTGCGTCAAACATTTATAGTATGTAAGGATAAAGCCTGGGATATGCATTGGACAAAAGAGATATCTCAAATATTTGAAAAACTATTTTTATGTCCAAAAACTAACTTGGGTTTTAGTTTACATGTAACAGAAATATATCTGGAAGAGCTTGCAAAGGTATACTAAAAAAAAGTAAGGTAATCAAACTTAAACATTTTTAATAAAAATAGCTATAATTTAAATTATTATTGTGTGAAGGTCAGTGATGGAGAAGTGCCGAAAGAAGCTGTGAGTGAATTTATTAGACCATTTGTCATTTATTTAGTGACAACTAAGGATGAACGTCAAATGAATCATATCATGAAGCATATTTTCAGATACCTTATATTTCAATCAGATATAGGTATTGAATATATAGAAAAATTTGAAGCTTGGAGACAAGTAAGTACATCTCTAAATATGCTTTAATATGTAATATCAATTTCTGCAATCACATTACATTTTTGTGAATAGGCTGGATTTCCTTGTACTCATTTGGATAATGTAGAAAAGATAGAAATATCAGACATGGAAGATAACTCTGAGGATGAACAGTCTTTCGAAGCCAAAATACTAAACAATAAAGTTGAAAAACCTTTAGATCCACGAGCAGGTAGAGTTGATGTAGAACTGCCACAAATTTCATTTGATCCTGCAGAGATTGTTCAATTACTTTCAAGTTATAAGTTTTATCCATCTTCAACGGCAAAGTCACGGAGGCAACTTTCAAGAGTTCTGGGGGAGTATGTACTGTGTTCTTAATTGATCAGGTTATAATTTGCGTTTACTTTATATTCACCTTTGTAAAACAAAACTTACATCACTAGGTACAAGGAATTATCAGAAGGTAAGATGCCTCTTGGGATAAAGAAAGTTAGAAATCCTATTTGGCAGAAAAAAGATACAGATGCAAAAAAGGGTGCTCTTCGTCTTATCCAATTTGACAAGACTTTGTACAGTGATAAGATAAACCATAAAAGAAAAAGAGACGAACAAATAGTTAAATATGATGCAAACACTAATTCAGATGTAGAGCCTTCTAAGAAACAGAAGAAACATGACTCAACTCGCGACAAACTTGACTTGAAGTTTGAATTTAGTGAAAATGGAGAGAAATTAAAAACAAAAAGCTTATTTAAGGAAGATAAAGCAGGTAAAAAGATCAAGTTAAATTGCACAAATGATATAAAAACGTCAAACAGAAATATTGATTGTAAAATGAAAGCAGCACTTAACGAGTGGCAAGTATCTGAACTTATAGATCAATGCACATTATCTACACCAACCTCTCAGAAAAACACTTTGATTAAGAAAATTGCCAAGAAACCCATAACTAAGAAGACTATATCGGAAAACAGTATTACACAGAAAAATCAAGTGGTAGCTCTGAAAAATGTTAGTATATTACTTTTAATGATTTATAAATGATATAAAAATTACATTATAAAAATATATTATAAAATTACATTAATATATAAAAGTTATAATATAAAAGTACATATATTATAAAAGTTACAAATCATGTGTGATATTATTTTTTTGTTTTACCGTAGAAGTCGAATCAGGTAAAGAAGCAAACTAACGTGAACAATTTTGTATCAGCGAAAAAAAAGGTGAAGATCGTATTAAACCGAAACACTGAGCAACATACATCGGAATATATTCAACAGGTTCGTAAAAGTCCGGCCATTCCTTTCGACGCAAATAAGAAGCCACTAGTTGGTGTACTAAAAGCGAGTGCTATACCAAGCCCAGTTAATCCCTTTTACAAAAAGGGCTTGCGCGGTTAAAGTAGCTTTTAAATATGTACATAAGAAATTGTCTTTTTATAATAATAATAAAGCTAAAATATCTATACGTTATTATTATTAATTTTAAATTGTAAATAAGTCCGACTAAAAGTTAGCTACAATATCAAGGCTTCCGCCACAAAGCCGACAGCTTCCAAATGACACGCAATCTTAATTCGTTGATATTAAAGATAATTTGTACCACCAACTTTTTTCCTATTTTAACATCGATGATGTATTCTGGCATTCATTTTCACATATAAATTGATCAGTTTCTTGTAAATTACCTTCAAATCCTACTTCTTGAAGAACTTTCTGAGCTTCGTCATCTTGCGCAAAATACTCTTTCCACTCTTCACCTTTTTGTTGTGCATCTGACAGTTTAATTTTTTTTTGTCAAATATCTCTAGAGCATTTCTTAAGTCGAAGTTCATTTAAGTATCGATTCAGTATTTTATTTATGACAACCTGGAAGATAAATGGTGCATCAGTGGCTTCACACTTTTATACTACTGAGGTTCTTTTATACCTTTCTTTTTTGTTATTATTATAACTCAGATAGCTTCTAAAAATATCTTAAAGAGTGTCCTATTGCTTTTATACATTTTTAAGATGTCTTTCAAAAGTTTATGCTGCTTATTTATATATGTAACCTTACCTTTATAATTCAGCTGAAAAACTTATCTGATTCTAAATTCAAATTTGAATATTTTACTTAAAGCAATTTTCAACAACGATTATTAATATAGGCCTTAATTTAATTAAAATGTAATATAAAACAAATTAGTAATGTAATATATTGTGTTATGTACTGATGTTAAATTTAAAATCGTTCCTCAAATAACGGCGATATTGAATGGCTGCATTCAGTAGACTCAACAGTTGCACAACAGTTGAGTAATTTGTCAATGTAATTGGTCTAGATTTAGGGATCTAATAGCAAGAACCAATAATCGTTGATTGCTCACTGAGCGCTTTTTCTACTGAATGCGCCCAATGTGTTCAGCAGATAAAAGCGCTCAGTGAGCACTCGATGTTTATTGGTTTATTCTGTTGGTTCCCTATTTATACCAATTATGTTTACGAATCACTCAACAGTTGTATAATTGTTGTGTCTGCTGAACGCGCTCATTATATCGATATTTTTAATATCAGGATTTTCAGGATAAATTAAAAAATGTCATAACCCATTGTCGAGTTATATGATGGCTGCGTTCAGAAATGCACTGCCAGTACTGAAAATCTATAGTTTATGTTACGTATATTATAGAATTTCAGTACTGACAGTGAATTTCGGAACGGAGTCCATGTCTCCGATAGGGCCTTTGCAGAAAAGGCCTTTGTAGAAAAATTTTAATCGTAACCATAAGGTCGTAAGAAAACTGATCAATCAGAGTTGATTCTCCTTGCGTTCGAGGAATAATAAAGAAAGTGACGGCTCGTAGCGGAGACTTTGGAACTAACTTATAAAAATGACGTGTCAAAGGATGCAATCCACTAGACGCTTAAAAAGAAGCCTAAAGAGTGGTCTACAATGAGAACTTAAGCCATAAAACTTAAGCTTTAAGCTCTAAGCCGTAAGAAATTGGCCAATCATAGTCGATTATTTTCTTTATATTTGGTTGTGATTGGTCAATTTCTTACGGCTTTAGGCTTAAAACTTAAGTTTTATGGTTTAAGTTCTCATTGTAGATCACGCTTTAGATAACGCTTCAAAACATTTGTAGCATCTAGTGGATTGAACCCGTTATTTCTGTAATGGCTTCTGCACACAGGACACGGTAATGCTTGCCGCGCGGCGGAAATCCGTGCGACAGCTAATCAATATGTTGTTTTTCCGTAAAAGCTAGAAGGTTATTACGGAAAGCAGCATATTGATTGGCTGTCGCGCAAACTTCTGCCGCGCGGTAAGCATTACCGCGTCCTGTGTGCAAGAACCATAAATTAGCTTGGTTTACATTGCACTTGATACACGTACTATATAGTAACTTTCTATTAAATAATCTTAATATTGACAATGCATATCAACGATGACGCATTCAATTGATACAATAAGTCTTCTTGATCAGTATTATACAAGCTTAATATACCGTTATTTATATACATCGTCGATATTAAGATTAATAGAAAGTTACTATTTAATACGCGTATCAAGTGCACGATGTAAACCAAGCCATTGGGCGCGTTCAGCGGAAAAAGCTCAGTGAGAAATCAGCGATTATTGGTTCTTACTGTTAGATCCCTAAATCTAGACCAATTATATTGACGAATTGCTCAACTGTTGTGCAACTGTTGAGTTCGCTGAACGCAACCGTTCCAAAGTCTCCGTTATGAGCCGCCACTTTCTTTAACAAGAAATCGAGGTAGTGTTATTAGGGCTATCGCACACAAATTGACATAACTGCATATGCATAGCATAAAACCGTATGTACCAATGAGCATCGAGTAATAAGTCGCCATATTGGTGTTCGATGCTTAATATTCGATGCTCATTGGTCCATACGATCTTATGCTATGCATATGCAGTTATGTCAATTTGTGTGCGATAGCCCTAAGTATTAGTATTATCGTTTCTATGTTAAAACATAGTCAAGGATAAAGATAGGATAAATAGATGATGGGGATAATGATGATAATAATACTAAGAAAGAAAGAAAAACGGTTGTTCGCTTTAAATTACTTTTTCATTTCAGTTTTTTCTTTTGTTATTTTGCAATGACAATCATTAATTAAGAATATCAATTTTAGTTTAATTTTCAATGCAAAAGGTTAATCGAATATAAATATAAATTTAAATTTGAGTTTGAGCCTATGGTGAGAGATAACCAAAGCTTAGAGTTAAGGTAAGAAAAAGGAAGGTCACAGAAATGTAAAGTAAGAGCAAAACTAAACGGTATAGCAAGACTGTAAAGACATATCTATATATATGCTTAGTGATAAGACAGGAACACAAGTAACTAGTAAGGAATAGAAAGAATGTACAGAGGCTTTAGCCAGATAAGCTAGTACTTAATGGCTGTGTATATTTCTCTCAATAAAAAAAAAAAAAATCGAGGTAGTGTTGGCTATAAACAGCATCTAGCTAATAATTTTTTCTGTATTCTATTGAGACAATTCAGCAATAGGTAATATGTTTTTAACTTATTCTGAAAAATATATAAAAGTACGTATAACAAAGATAGAATAAAGCCAGCGACACACAGTGCTTATTTTCGTGCTAGATTGCTTGCTGGATATAAATACTCTGTTTTGATTGGTGCGTTTCCATCCATCTTTAGGAATTATTAAATAAATATTAATCTTCCTTGTTGTTTATTTTGATTTAAACAATCCCGTTCAATAAGCAACGCATTTTTCAAAATAAATGCTAACACTGAAGTCACAGATCACAAGAAGCATGTATTGTGATGTATTGTTTCTAGCAGAACAATCACCGCCAGGTACGGGCCAATCATTTTTGTGTATGTATACCACTTTTTTAAGATTTCGGATGATTTTATTGCGCTCCAATCACAAAGTGCGCTAGAAGTGTCATTTTATACTCTACTAATGTGTACATTCCAGCAACAATTATTGTACAATAATATGAATTTTATCATAGCTAGCGTGTTATCACATATTTTGAGATCTTTCTATTTTCATTACCATAGCACAATAATTACGCCAGAATATATATGTAGACTTATACTATTCAAATACACACACACACACACACATATATGTAATTACATAAAGAGTTTATATTTCATATTTTATAACACACTTTTTTTATGTTTGAGAGCATAATACACCATGTGTAATATATTTGTTACTTTACAGAAGTAAACATTGTACACGAACGCAGTGTGTGTGCTTTTATATAGAATATTTTGTATTACGGTGCCGACGGTACATGCAACAATTTTAAAGATTATTCACATGTTACATTATTACACAACAGTTTAATTAACATTTATTCGCATAGGAAAATTTCTTAACATACAATTTATCATTGACTAGTTCGGATCTACAAGAGACACAGACAGGTAAGATAGATTATTCATCGACTGATGATTTTGACTATTTCTTTGTTGGAGCTATATAAAGAAAGTGATTGGTTTGATTGAATTTACGGCTCCCAGGTACTAATTATGTAAAGAAAATATTTAACATGTATACTACGAGATACACATATGTCATATATTGATTTTCTACAACTACAAGTTACTGAATGAGAATTTTTTATAAAACTAATCTAATTGCTTATATCTTTCTTTGGCACATGAATTCACTTTTACTTACATTCGAAATCGTTCAATAGTTGAAGGATTTAAATTTTTTGGTTGAAAAAATTCGAAAAAATACACATTTTCTAATGTATACTTTCTATAACCTATGCAAATTTTTTGTATAATTATACATGACATTTTATACATTTCCTATGTTATAAAATGTTCGCAATTTACATTTAGCCTATATAATTCAAGAAACATAATTTTTTTATATTAATTGAAAAGACACATGTTTTACATATGCTGCTATATGAAATCTTTTTCATAAATAATTAGATAGAAACAAAATGGCATAGAAATGTAATGATTATATTTCTTTCTTCGTTATTATGTAATATATGAAAATTACTCTGTTAATAATATCTCAAAACACCATGTTTATAACAATATTCCATTTGTTTGTATCAACGTTTATCAGAAATGTGTTGCAGTAAAAACTAGTGGTTCTCTCAAAAATGTTATTCTTTTGATAAGAAAATTCCTAAGAAATTTGTACAATTTATGTTTTACAAATATAGACATTTCCACGGAATATATTTTTATTAGAAATACTATCTTATGTATATATATTTTTTGACATAAAACATCAAAATGTTTGCATCACCCATTTTTTTCTTTTTTAATGACAGCTTTTTTAAAGATAATATGTGATTATTTGGAGGACAAACTTCAATTATCAAAGAATTGTACACTCTCATTTTGTTGTATACCACTGTGCTTTTAGAACTACAACGTCGAGATAAATAAACATAAAAGGATTGAAACGGTGCAATAGTATTACGACTACGTATTACAGTTACGTGATATTGCACAAGATCTTTGAAATTATGTTTCTCTTCTATAATTCCAATTTTATATTTACATATTATCACAGAGAGACAAAGACGACTATCTATAATCTTCTAAAGAATTTCAAATCAAAATATATTCTCGACTAACTACGTTTAGCTTGGAAGGGGTAACTCTTCCAGCGCGAATACCACCCCATTTCGATCTGATTGAAGCCCGTACTGAAAACTGACAGCGCAACGAAAAATGCTGCATGTATCAGAGCCCATAATTGGAAGATCGGCGAAATAATGAGTAAAAGTACCATCATTCCTGCGAACGTAAGATTTCACTTCTGATATTGTTTTTATCGATCTTGAATCTCCTGAATTATGTTCAGAAAAAAAGAGAAAAAAGAAACAGAAACGTACCTGTCAACATACTCCAAAATCCGAAAGCAGCCCGTAGCGGTAGCATCTTCGCCATCGGCCAGATTTCGGCGGAGAATGTCTTCTGTTCGTAAAATTGCTTCAATATCCTCTCCTTATCGGACCATTTATTCTCCAGCCACTTTCTCAACGTCGACTCGTGCGTCGGTATCTCCGCGGTGGGTATTCGCTTTATATGAAAGTGCACCTCGTCCGGCAACTTGCCCCTAATCAAATCAATCTCGGTTTGCGGTATATAGTCGGGATACGCTATCGTTAGATCGTACACAGCGTCCAAATAGTTCGCTCGCTGAAGGTGTTGCACCAAGTAAGCGAAACCCGTTGTTTTTGGATGCAGGGTATAGGTGTATTCCGGCAAATGATGCTGCAGCGCGTACTTATTTGACTTTTCCTTACTGCTTCTCGTCAGATCGGTGCCCTCAGGAAATATCAGCAATTGTGTGCGACTGCCTAACGCGATCAGGTAATCAAGAGTACGCGATAATCGGCCTTGATCTTCTTCCCAACGTCGCGTTATATAAAGGAAACCGTTCATTTGCATTATCCATCCTGTCGCAGGTACGTGTGAAATGATAAAAAAGAAAGTAAATACAACTTTGAATCGACATTTCACGAAAAAGAAAAACAGAACATCACCTGGACCAGGAATGTGTCGTATAGGATCCTTCAAAACGAATTTCAATCTGTGACAAGCTACATTAGGCATACACGCTTGGTACATCGCCGCCCATAGAAAGTTCCAGTCCACCCTTGTCCTGTGATTCATCACGAGCACAGCCGATTCATGAGGAGATATATGATCGCCAGACACATAGATCTTTACACCAAACATGTTCAACAGGGCCTAGAATATTTCAGATATTCCCGATAAGAAGGCACAATATCCAAAAGAATAGACATGTATTACGTATGAAGAATAGACATGTACGCACGTGGGCACATATGACATGTAAAATTAATGATTAACAGTACACTTACAGTAGGATAAAGCTCCCAACACGAGAACAAGAGGTCTCCACATTTTCGGAATTTCGGTGGGCTGAACAAGAACAACGGTAGGAACGGACAGGCGATAAATAAAAAGCCTGCTACTATACTACCATACCACAGAGCACAATACAATATACCACGTAAAAATCCGCGCATTATAGTCTGAAAATCATTAAAGAAAACAAGAATCTCTTATATAGCTCTAAAAATTGAAAAAAGGACAGAAATAAATACTTCTCTACTTTGTCATGTATATCATGAACATTTCAGACCAATGTTGATACTCTTCGCTATGCATTACAATGTGTTAAATTGGAAAATTACAAAAGTATTACAAGTAAAGTGATACAAGTATTCGAGAGTCAATGTATCCAATGAAGCACATACAATTTGTTAAGTATTTTCCATGGTCAAAATGTTCATCACAAGTACGTAAGTTGATGATAAAATTTAAAACTATCCTCCACTATTCTAGAATAAATAGTCTTAGTACATACATATAGTCTTAGAACTTAGAACATACTAACGACACGCCATATGCGTCGTCATATCGCGTTCAAGACAGCTTATCTTATAAAACATCTTTTGTATAAGCTATAATTTTCTTCCATTAGTTTAAATGAGCGAGTAGATAAAAAAAAATAATTTCTATTTTTGATATATACTTTGATCATAAAAAATAACGACAATAATATTTGTTCCGCTAAATATTATGATTATCGGAAGACTATATTATTTTTGTAATTTTTCGATTTAATTTTATACACGCAAACATATTATAATGTATACAGAAGAGAGTCAGCATTGGATCAAAACGTTTATGATGTATGTGGCCGAAGGTTACTATTAATAAATAATTGTTATGTTATACTAAAAAGCGACTATGCGATTTTTATGCTAGATATTCATTTCAATTTGAAAATGGGTGTCTTATGTACATAAAATACGATTTATTATCAATCTGAATTGTCCCAAGAATTTTTAATAATAGTAACGATTGGCATTGCAACAGGACTCCCGCGTTTATGTTGTTTATAAACGAATAAAACAACGTTTTATCCGTCCTTTCAATAATAATTTTCACAAGAATACTTAAAGAAATGATACTTGAGATTTTCACACTTCTGACACGTATAAAGAGGCAGGAAAATTCAAGTTAATTTCATGCTGCTAGAAGAGAATGGGAAAAAAGAGATTATGTATAAAATATATAATGTGTTCAAAACTCACTTTCACATGTGCACCGTGCGATTGAAGCACTTTTTACGAACATTGGACCTTGACTGTTTCCTTGTGAAACACTATGTCTTTACTGGCTTCCTCTTGGCTTTACCAGAGGGGCTTCTCTCTGCCACCCCTTTCACCCTCACTCTCTCATCCGTCCTCTACTACTAAGCTGAAGGATGCTGTGTTGGACCATTATTGATCTGTTGAACACAGGAGGGTTGCATGATTCCAATAAAAATATTGAAAAATTTTTCTACAATTGGCAATCAACTGAATATTTTTATGCATAATATACGGTATTTTTGTCGTATTAGCTTTCAATAATTTTTTATATATAATAATATTTATAATTATTTAATATATATAGAATAATATTTATTTTTACCATATTCTGCTCAATTATGTTAAATACTTATTAGAGCTTATTCACATGAAAAGTAGGAAATAAAAATTTATTAACATTTTATATTTTTTAAACATTCAGATGTGAATTAGTTTCACTCTGCATTTCAATTATATACTTATATATGCAAAATGGAATATTAAGGCTATTATATGGAAAGAAAAAAAGAAAGAGAGAAAGAAAATTCAAAATTTATTTTGATAAAGATCTTTAAAGACTAAAAATAATTATTTGTATTTAAAAGCACTTTTTATATTATCACATTATTTTACTAGACATGGATAAAAAATCAGATTATGATATATCATATACATAATAAGTTTTTAATTTGTATAAGGAATATAATAAAGCATAATAGGCTTAACGTTTATACAGTAAAATGACAATTCTAAAATTAATTATATTTAATATTTAATCGCTATATACCATCGACATGGGCCTGTTTTCATATTGTTTTATATTTTAATGGAAAGACGTATAATTGAGAGATCGTATAGAATATTAAAATATATAAAAGTTTTATTCAT